AATCAAATCTTGAAATGAAATTAAATGAGAATAATAGAAAATATTAATATATTGTATCAAAAATCTGTGGAATTGATTTGGAAGAATGTTAGATAGCGAAACTGAAAAGACAGTAAGAAAAATCTGGGGATTTGATTAGGAAGAAAGTAAGAAAGAAAAATTGATAAGCTTAAGAAAAGAAAGAGAAAAATTAAAATGACATTAATATCTATCCAATTACAAAATATAGGAAAATGTGTAATCTATGAGAGAGTAAAAAAAATTGTAAATAATGAGAGAGAAAATATTAATAATATCAGAATAATTATTTATTTTTAAAATAATGACATTTTTGAGATGTTTACTAATATTATTAAAGTAATAGATATTATCACTAAATAAGTTGATTTTTTTTGACTAGTTAGCTAAATTTCCAAAATATAATATAATATTAAAATTTAAAATTAGAGAGAGTCCAAACCCAAAATAATTAGATTTACTATTTCAATCTAGATATCATGTAATATTATTTTGTCGATATTTATGATAATTTCTTAAATTACAATTATAATTTAATTAATAATTATAAAAAAATATAATTTTTATAAAAGTGAGTTGGCCCGGCAAGCCTGTAGCCCACGTACTTGTGGGTTGGATGGACTATATTCTAGCCCATATAAAAAATATGCTAACCTGAACTGGCATGTAAAATATCAAAATCTGTATAAATTGACCTAAATGAGATGAACTAGCTCATATTAACAGTTGTAGTAACCATATTAAAATAGTGTCAAACTATTGGCCCAAAAATTAATACTTTTTAGAATGCCTGTAAATGAAAAATAGTGAATAAAGCAAAAGAGAAAACAGAATGAGCATTTATGATTATGAGCATGAGGATATATGAATTTTATACAAACTATATACTCCAGTAAAAATTATTTGATCATGAGTAATTCTTTTTGAAAAGGATGTCACGCTACGATAAAAATGATCATTAGCGGTATTTAATTTTTAATTACCGCTAAATATATATTTTTAGCGGTAATTGTCATTCTTTGTATATGTTCATAAAGTCTTTAACGGTATCGGTTCTAATGACACTTAACTAATGCGGATAAAGACTTTAACACTTTTTATTAGTATCAATATTTAATGCCGTTAAAAGTTGTTTTTGTTGTAGTGTCAATATTTGAACTCGTGGTTAACACAAATTCTTATAACAATTAAAACTTTTAAATACAAAAATATTTTCGCTCTCACTCAATATTAAAGTAAACTAACTTCAAATATTATTAAATCAGATCATACAGTGAACAATTAAATAAACCATAATATTAAAGACTATTTTGAAAGTAAAAATATTGTTGATAATCTGAATTCTCCATGGTTAATGTCTTCTACTATTCTATACCCTTGTATTAAGCAAGTTGAGAATAAAGACGAGTCATAACTTTATAACGTTACACAAATAAAAACAATTATTACCAAGAGAATAACAATATATGAATAAATATCATTCAAAAATCACTTTTTATATTGACTTATTACTTCGTCAATTTATTATAATTTTCAAAATACTAATTTTCTTTTTATTCAAAAAGTAACACCAAAACATATTTTTTGAAATGCATGTGATTCTATTTATGTAGTTTTTCAATTTTTAAAAGTAAAATTACTAAAAATGAAATTAAAACATATAATTTAGACCTAAAAGAATTATTTAAACAATAAAAATATAAAACTTGAGTTTGATCAATAATCATATATCGACAACTCTAAATTTTGAAAGCACTTGATTAAAATTTTACCATATAAAAATTCAAAAGGAATCTAGTTTTTTTTAACACGTACAAAAAATAATGGTATATATAACTTGGACTGATATTAACAAAACCAAGATGATTCACAAATTTTAATTTACTTTTCTTAGTTACACCGTTTGAAAATCATGAAAAGTAATATGTTCAACAATATATAGAACTCCTAGATAGAATTTTTAAATGACATGCTGCCTAACATTTCTTCAATTTCTAAAATGTGTTTTTCTCACATTTTTAAATTATTATAATTTTCAGTATAAATAGTGATACCAATAGCAAAAGACTAGGCACAAAACACTAAAAAACCCAAAATTTGAATAATTTTCCAGATTTTACAAAGTATTATCACAATATAGCAACAATGAATTCATTGGGTGGAACTGTAATATTATCACAATATAGCACAAAATAAATAATTTTTCAAAATTTTTAAACAACCTTTTCAATAATAGATTGTTATAAGAAATTTTTTTAAATAGATTTTAAGTATATTTCAACATAAATGAAATGATTTGGCATTGTGACATATCTTAAGAATTATGAATATATCATAAATGAGTAAATATGTTGAATCTAATCATTTTTATCTTTTACATAATTTATCATAGTATATGTTAGATGATATAATAGTCTTGTTAAAATAGAGTGATATTTTTATGTAGCGATTAAACATCACTTTTTTTTATTTTCTTGTACATGAAAACTTTAGAATCTGATAATTTTATGGTTAGAATAACTCCTTGTGAAAAAAAAATTGTATGAAAGTTTTCGATAATAAATATTAGTTATATATTAGTTAAGACCGTTAAAAATATACACCACAATAACATAAATAATTTTTGTGACAATCTACTCGTTTGAGGTCAAAAGTTCACCACTTTTTGTTATGGAGAATGCCCAAGTACCCCCTCAACCTATGCCCGAAATCTCAGAGACACTTATATTATACTAAGGTCCTATTACCCCCTGAACTTATTTTATTAATAATTTTTTACCCCTTTTTAGCTTACGTGGCACTATCTTGTGGGCCCAACGATGATTGATTTTTTTTTTGAACTAGTGCCACGTAGGCTAAAAAGGGGTAGAAAATTACATATAAAATAAGTTCAGGGGGATAATAGGACCTTAGTATAGTATAAGTGTGTCTCTGAGATTTCGGGCATAGGTTGAGGGGGTACTTGGGTATTTTCCCTTTTGTTATTGTTACTTTGTTAGTCTAACAAAATTTGTAGAATGAGAAAAATAAATTTGAAACGACAACAAAATAATATTGTTAACCCTTTTAAAAATTCATTCTTCGTTAAACTGCTGCTCCGAAAGCCCTTCTAGATGTTTCATCAATACAACTTTATGATTTTTTCAAAAATATTTACGTATAACTTTTGCATTATGAAATTATAAGTAGATCAACGTGTTAGACTCTAGAGTACTCATGTTAAATAAATATTCTCGGACATTAACAAAAAATTAAAAATGAGTATAACCTAGATAACTCAAATGCATAGCAATGATTTGGGACATAAAGGACAACAAATCTATGTTAATATACATATCTTTTGTAACTTAAAATATGTATTACTTTTATTTGGAGCAGGTTTTGTTTCATATTCTTTAAATTAAGCTTGTCGAAAATAGTCATAACTCACACAAAAAATATTTAGAAGAGCCAAATGAGAAGGAAAAAAAGAAAAACAATAAAAGAACGAAAGCTTTGTCCAAGTAAAATCATATACGTACCAAATGAAAAATAAGCTATACAATTTTAAGGAGACCACAAAACAACGAGAAAAACCATACATTAAAAAGAATAAACTATGAGTTGATAACAAATCATTCTAACCATAAAAGTTACAATATTTTGAAATAACATACCTCAAAAATTGACTAACACTTCAATCGACTTTCGATCCTTAAAGTACTCATAATATCCAACGATAAAATTTAGTAAAAATAGATAACAACAACATAAAAATAAAAAATATGGACATAAAAAGTTATTACTTCTTCTGTTTAAAAAAGAACGGCCTCATTTCCTTTTTAGTTTGTTTAAAAAAAAAGACTTTTTTCTTTTTTTTGGTAACATTTTAATTTCAGTTTTCCATATGGCATGCTTAAGGGCACAAGATCAAATGACAATTTCGTGCATTTAACCTAACTTTAATTTTAGGACCACAAGATTCAAAAAAAAATTTTATATTCTTAAACTTCGTGTCAAGTCAAACCAGGTTATTTTTTGTGAAATGGAGAGAGTAACTCTCAGAGGATTTTCTTTAAAACACAAAATTACATCCGTGTATCTGAAGGAATTGAATGACATTGTTGATGGAAAAAATTAGAGATTTTAATGTACCAGTTCTAGTAGAAAAAACTAGCTTGAATACTCCATTAACATTTATTATCTTATATGTACTAACAAATACTTATTATAATAATTATGTAGAAACATAAACAAAAATAACAATTAATAATATAAGTATAAATTAATAACCGTAAGAAACATACTAGGAACTGTAATAATAGTATGAAAAAACAAAACAATGGTGTCAGTGAATCATTTAACAGGAGCAAAGTACATAAATATTTAATTATCAGAGGAAAAAAAATAAGAAGAAATTCAAAAATTTTGTTGTTTTAAAATGAGAAGAAATTTCTCTATTTATAAACAACAAAGACTAGTTTGAACAAATAATTATTGTGTCTTATCAGAGAGGTCACAACTCTTTGGAAAAGTTACAATCATTCGAAAAGTCACAACATTTCATAAAAGTTACAAATTTTAGTAAATCGCAACTATTCGAAAAAAGTCATAATTTTTTATACAAGTCACAACTTTTCACAAAAGATGAAGGCTAACTTTGAAAATAAAATAAGTTAAAAGGGAATCTTGATTTGTGGTGGCACTACGTAGGTAAACCTAGATTCTTTATTTATATATATATATATATATGATTGACTATTTGCCACTAACGAAAATATAAGAAAAACTAATAGCTAGACTTAAAATAAAATATTACTCTAAAAATGCTAAATTACTAGCTTATTTATTAAATTTAAAATTTTAAAAAATATTTTTAAAACAATTCTATAAAATTTATTCTAAAAATGTGATTCTATTTCTGTAGTATTTTGATTTTTAAAAGTAGAACTTACTAAAAATGAAATAAAAATATTTATTTTAAACCTAAAAAAAATATTTAAACATTAAAAAGATGTAAAATTTGAGTACAATAAAAAATCATGTGTCTATCGCTCTAAATTTTAAAAGCACCAAGGAAAATGTACCATATAAAAAGAAATCTTGTTTAATTTAAGCCCACTTTAATATAAGCTTTTTAACACATACAAAAAAAAAAATAAAAAAAAATTGGTATATATAACTTGGACTGCTATGTTTATCTACATCTCTTAGTTACACTATAAAATTAAAGACCATGAAAAGTAATATATTCAACAATATATAGAACACCTAGATAGAATATTTAAATGGCATGCTGCCTAACATTTCTTCAATTTCTAAAATGTGTTTCTCTCACATTTTAAATTAGTATAATTTTCTGTATAAATAGTGATACCAATAGCAAAAGACTAAGCACAAAACACTCAAAACCCCAATTTTTGAGTAATTTTTCAGATTTTACATAGTATTATCACAATATAGCAACAATGACTTCACTGGCTGGAAATGTAAATCATGAAAATGGAATTTTTCGTCTAGAGGCTAATTTTTCTCCTAGTCTATGGGGAAATACTTTTAGCAATTCTACTCGGATTAATCAGGTAAATATATGTATACAATCAAATCTCTTTATAATGATGTATGTTGTTTTAATTAAATCATGTTATTATTATAGATGACGACTGTTATAGAATATGGTCTGACTGGATATGCTTGTTTATTTGTCTTTATCGATATCCGAAAAAGTCACAGAGGAGATTGAGGGTTTGAAAGAAGAAGTAAAACACATGATAATAAGCACTACTACTACTAGCAATGACATTGAACAAAAAATATATTTGATTGACACTCTTGAACGTCTTGGAATTTACTATCACTTTGAGAAGGAGATTGAAGATCAACTAAGCAAGATGTTTGATCAAAATGTCATTCATGAAGAAGATGATTTACACAAGATTGCATTATATTTTCGATTGTTTAGACAACATGGATATCCAATCTCTTCTGGTATGTTTCTATATATACACATTAGTTTCAACAAATGTTTTACGTTTTGCTAGACTGAAGATACTTTTAACATGATGATAATATAATCACACCTTTTTTTTCAATTATTGATATGAGGATATGAGACTTTGTTCACACATCCAACAGTAACTCTGACATAACGATATTATATGTTTTGTGAATTAGATTATTTCAACCAATTTAAGGACAACAATGGAGAATTCAAGAAAGCTCTAATTGCAAATACAAAGGGCTTGTTAAGTTTGTATGAAGCAGCACATGTTAGAAAACATGGTGATGACATATTAGAGGATGCACTTATTTTTGCAAAATTCCATCTTGAGAAGATAACAAATGTACATACATTGGATTCTACTCTTGAAAAACAAGTAACACATGCCCTTATGCAATCTCTTCATAGAGGAATCCCAAGAGCTGAGGCACATTTTAACATTTCAATATATGAAGAATGTGAATCAAGAAATGAAAAACTACTAAGGTTTGCCAAATTAGATTACAATTTGTTACAAGTGCTACACAAGGAAGAGCTTTGTGAACTCACTCAGTAAGTTGCTTGTCCTACTTTCTTTTTTTAAAAAAATATTAATTAATTCTTTCGTATTTTTAGTAACTTTTTAATTTCAAATTTCTACGTGATATGTTTAAGATTAAAAGATTAAAGAAAGTAAATTGTGGTACATTTGATATATTTATCAGAAGATTCAAAAGTCTTTTTGACTTACATATATAAACTTTATATCAAGTTAAAATAGGACAAATAATTAAATCGAAACAGTATATATTATATATTAAGTTAACTAAACATTACTCTTGTTTATTGTGAAGGTGGTGGAAAGATTTGGATTTTGCATCAAAACTTTCATATGTGAGAGATAGAATGGTGGAATGTTTTTTTTGGGCAGTTGGTGTGTACTTTGAACCACAATACTCTCAAGCTAGAGTTATGCTTGCAAAATGCATAGCTATGATTTCAGTAATTGATGACACATATGACTCTTATGGAACTCTTGATGAACTGATTATTTTCACAGAAATTGTAGACCGGTATGTCATATAAATTAAGACAGAAAAAAATATATATATCTACAATCAATTAACCTCTTTTTTGCATGATTATAGGTGGGATATAAGTGAAGTTGATAGACTTCCAACTTATATGAAACCGATATATATATCTCTTCTCAATCTCTTCAACGAGTATGAAATCGAAATCGAATTAGAACAAGATAGATTCAATGGAGTTCATTATGTCAAAGAGGCAGTATGTTACTTAATTGAAAACCCTAATATTATTACTTTCTTTTGATATTATGAATTTTTCAACTACATATATATATTTTAATTAATTTCTTTTTGAATAGATGAAAGAAATTGTGAAGAGTTATTATATTGAAGCAGAATGGTTTCTTGAAGGGAAAATTCCATCATTTAAAGAGTATTTGGGTAATGCATTGGTTACTGGAACTTATTATCTACTTGGACCAGCATCATTATTGGGCATGAAATTAGCATCAAAGAGAACATTTGATTGGATGATGAATAAACCAAAAATTCTTGTGGCTTCTGCAATAATTGGTAGAGTTATTGATGATATAGCAACTTATAAGGTATTGTCATATGTACATATACACATGTCTTTTATAAACAAAAAAATAGATGGACGCACTCATTTTTTTAAAAGAAAATGAGAAACTGTGCAAAATATAGGTTTAGTCTTTGATAAATATACATAAAATAAAATAACTCTGGATCAAACTCAAGTATTTTCTATGATTTTAGACAATTCTATCACTTAACCATACATGATCTTTACTAAAATATTTTCACCATTTTTATTTATATAAATCTTCCGCTTCAATTTTACACTTCAAAAATTGGTCCCGTCCTTCGCGTTTTTTTTTTTTGGTAAAAAATAAATATTAAAAATCATAGGATTGTTAATTTTTTTAAGAAAATATATTTTTGCATGAAAATAAAAATTGACAGATCTTCGGTGATTGTCTTTTATATATATATATATATATATATAAAAATTGACTGACAATTGATTTTTTGGACCTACTCCCATCCATAGAATTTTTTATTATTTTTAGTAGTGATTTTTTTTCCCTTACAGATTGAGAAAGAAAAAGGACAACTTGTTACGGGAATAGAATGTTATATGGAAGAAAATAATTTATCAGTGGAAGAAGCAAGTGCACAATTTTCTGAAATAGCTGAAAATGCATGGAAGGATTTGAACAAAGAGTGCATTAAGTCGACTGATTCAATGCCTACTGAAATCTTGATGCGTGTCGTGAACTTAACACGTCTGATCGATGTCGTTTACAAGAATAATCAAGATGGATATAGTGATCCAAAAAATAACGTGAAAGCTGTAATCGAAGCTTTACTCGTCAACTCCATCAAGCTGTAATCGATCAACATGGAAGATGGTCAATCATATTTCTGCTTTTTTCATTGATAAGTGATTTGTAATTTGTTGTATTGTATGTATCAGTTAAATTAAAATCTTAATTATTTTATTTGTGTGTCTAGTATATGTCCTACACATTGTGATTTGTTTGGAATTTTCTTTGGATGAAAACTTCCAAAAAAGTAAAGTGTAGTCTATAATTCCTAATTTTTCATTTTTTGAGAATTAAACACATGAAATTTTTAACTATATATATAACTAGTAAACTACGTAAAAAAATAATATAATTTTAAGAAAAAATATTAAAAGTGTTGCAACGGAAGATTACAATTCTGGAATATACAATCTTATAAAAGCCCGACCCGTTTACCTTTGTTTTTTTTATCAACCATGATGCTAAACGTAGCACTATCGTCCTCCACAATCAATTCTCCGGCAACTTTTCCGATAAACGGGAGGTTCAGTGTCGCCGGATTTCCGAACGATTTTGTTCTCCACTCCCGGAAAATTATGTTTCCTTATTTTCTTTGGCGGAAAATTACAGGTGGTGGGAGAATCGTAGGTGCGGTGGAGATGGATAAAGCAGAAGAAAAGAGGGGTCCGGTGAGAATAGTGGGGATTGTTGGAGAGGGTAGTGTTAGCCCTCTCAAATCTACTCCTTGGCTTGACGTCATGCTTCACACTGTGAGTATTTTGCAACTCTGACTACTTTCTTCAACTCGAAAATTATATACAGAGTTGAGCATTTTCTAGAAATCAAATACTCCTTTCATCCCAAGATAAATTCTTCTCAAATTTTGTGGCTGTAAATCATGATGATAAATAGCGTATTTTAAAGTTAAGTTGTTACTGACACTATTATTACTTTAGTGGGAGAAGTCGGTTATATTTAGTCCTCGTAATAGTTTTTTTTGATATATTTGTCCTTGCGTTCAATTTCGGATACATATTCGTCCTTGATGGTTAAGTCCGACTGCAAATGCATTACTCTTTTGATGAGTTCGAGCAAAATAGGTTATAACAAGGATGTAGCATTTTTCTTGTTCTTTCCGATTTTCTCATTGGAAAGTAAACTAGGAAGCTTTCACAATTTGAAGTTGGTCTTTTGAGTAAAATAGAAAGGAACAAAAATATGGAGTCCGGAGCCTAAAGGCGAAAAATGTTAACAAAAATTTCATATAGCAGCAATTTTGCTTTTTTTCGTCGGACAAAATCGCTACCTCGTGAGCGATTTTGCCGTTTCGGTTAAAAAAGAATTTCATATACCATTTTGAAATTTTTGTTGGGCTCCGGATTTCAAAAATATGTTGCTCATACAACTAGTTGATAGACTGCTGAAATTCTGCTCTGTTGCTTCATCATCCTGTGGAATTTGATGATGAGCAATATCCGCTGCTGGTTTAGCTACTTGTAGGAATGAAATTATGAGATAATCTGGCAAACGGAAACATACTAGTTACGAGAGAAAAAGAAAGGGAAAAGAGTATATATATATGAATTGTACTTTGTTGATGATGTTGTACTTTGCTTCCTTTTATAAATGCAAGGCAGAGAGACTGAAATGGGTTGATGAAGAATTTGAAATGATTGTCTTTTCTGACAACTTTGTCAAATCTGAAGATGAAACTGCCAACCACGTCAGCAATGAACTGGATCATGCTGACATTTTGGTGGTCGTTGCTGTCACAAAGGAAGGATCAGTCAACTGGATACAGTCTAACAGCCTGAATGTCCCAAACATCATATGCTTTGATTCCTCTATGGAACTCAGAAACAAGCTAGGTGGAAGTTTTGTTGAAACTAAAAAAAGGGGAGACATATTTAGCAGTTTACTTCCATTCTCTCAATCTAAGAAACTGGATGAATCTGTGGAGATAACCCGAACAGTGTTTGATGCTTGGGAAAGGCATAATTCTGATGACATACGGTTCTGCTTATTAGTTATAATTAATGCTTATATAACACCGGTCTCAACACTGAAGAACCTTAGAGCAAAAGGATTTTCCACTTTGAACTGCATGGTGACAAATTGCGGGCCTCAGATATTGAACTGTCTATTAGATCCTAACTGTAGAAAGGCACTTCAATGCTTGAACAACTGCAGCCCTGTAGATCAGGTATGCAATTATCGCTGTATTGCTTCCTATGAGAGCAAATACCTGGAAGAGTTCTCTCTCTGTGTGCTACAGAAGAATAATTGTCTTGAACTTGATGCAAAGATTCCTGAAAAGCCTTATGTGACTCCAATGGCAGAGTTTCGAGGGGAGAAATTGTCTTCTGAAATTGCTGAAGACCTCCTTGTTGGTTGGTTAGGGACATTGGAATGGAGTTGGCGCGTTGTAGCCGGGCAGAATCCAGCTTATGATCAATTTCCATGCCAGTACCAATTATTCTATCGGGGAAAAGCTAGAGGATCATTCTGGTATGAACCAGTTTTCCAGGTAAGAACACTTGAAGGAGACCTAGTCTGGAGAAGGCGCAAGTATAGAGTGAAAAGAGGAAAAGTTACCGGAACATTTCACTTCAGTGTATTGGATAATGGAGTCGTTTCAAACGAGTTCTGGACAATTGTGGATGTTTCTGATGATTTGAGCTGGGGTCTGTTCCACTATCATGGAGCTGCACGAGTGGCGGGGCAGTCATATACTGGGGCTGTTCTTGTCAGCCCAGATGGACAATATCCAGCTGAGAAGGAAAAACAAAGGTTGATATCTGCATTAGATAGCTGTGGTATCAAAGAGTGGGAGCTATTCAATGTTGATAATTGTTCATGTGAAAATGCACCATTGGGGATTCCAGATGGCTCAAGTCTGCATTCTAAAATTCAAGTGCATGGACAGACACATTCTTCAGTCTAGGAACCTGCATTTTTTTGTTAAAAATGAATGTGTTATGTATAGTTTATTGATATGTTGTAAAATTATAATGTTCTCAATGTCAAGTGCTGCCATTTACATAAATTTGAGGGGCGGACTACGTGATTATTTTTCGATTTACCTACTTTTCAAAAAGAATGGAAGGCTAATTCTCCAATTCCAACCAATGTCATATTACTTATGCCTGGTTTTAGGAGTCCCTAACTGTATGCTAAGAAGATGAGAACAAATATAGAAAGTGATACAACAAAAAAATCTTGTTTACTAAATGAACTTTGAGTGAACTGTAATATACAGGAGAGTTTAGTTAGACAAATCTCTAAAAGAAGAAAAAGAGAAAAAATCAAAATCAATTGGCTAGTCTACATATTTGACAAAGTTTGGAACTATTTTTCTAATGTGATTAAAACTGGATTTGGTTAATAACTTAGGTAGCAGCTCCTCAACTTCAAGACAATCGAAGCATTTTATTGCTATGGGGCCGTAAAATTGTTAGCAATGATTCCTCCTCATCGAGTATTCTTGGATGTTCTTTCCAAAAGCTCGTCTCAATTATGTTACAATGTTCAACAACTACTCTCTCATTTCCTGTTGGTTCATCCTGGGTTCAAAAGCAAAAAGTAAAAGTGAATACCCACTCCATCGGTTTCGTCTATAATAGAAGTCAAAAACAATGGCAGTTGTTGCAAATGTACTTGAGATTGAACATCTGCCGGATTTAAATGAAAACATGCTTATGATGGAGTTAATTATCACATTAAGAACCAGAAAACACTTGTTAAGGTACTATACTTGTATTGTTTATATTCACGACAGAACTTTTTTGAGCACACAGTTTATTATCCATATGGTGGTAGAAGCCTAAAGCTAAAGGATACAGGCTTTGTATGCAATATCATCAAAAACAACATAAAGTACTTCAAGCAAACATAGCATCTTCAGCAGTGAGAGAGAGAGAGAGATTTACTGTGTCTCGGAAAACAGAGGACCCCATCCGAAAGATCATTGGTAACGCATTGTAATCAATGCCAAACTTGGCAAGCAATTCATTTTTTTCTTGAGTTTGAGTACCCTGCAGAACAAAAGGGTTAATGTGGTCATTGGAATATCAAGATTACTCTCAATAGTGAAACCTGCTTGTGTATGATCAGAACAGGATGAGAGAGATATGAACTAACAGATTACTTTATCAAGGTCAAATCAACGCTGACGGTCTAAATTAAAGTGCATAGTCGATTTCTACAGAATCAAATTACAAAAAAATATTCATTTACACTATTACGTGTCACAATCATGTGGATGAGAACTCTACCGTTAGTGATTGAGGCTTCAGTGCCTTAAGAGTTCACATAGTATGTTGGCTTATGCTTTTAACATAATCTCATCTTTGTGAAAATCACAATTTCTATAACTATGTTCCTCCAAGAGATACATGCCCAGAATAGTGCTCAAAAAATAAGTGATAGCTTGAACAAAATTTTTAACTGTACCCTTCAAAAAACTGAAGTACTTGCCATGTGCTAGGCTCAAATAAGGATACTGCAAAATCGAGAAGAAGCTTAAAGAAAAGATTAACTAAATGTATTTTCATTCAGCTTTCTGGCTATCAGAACTATAAGTGAAAAAATCACACCCTTAAATACAAAATGTGTGATGTCAACAAGTATACTGATACTTCACCACGACAGGCTGCAAGACTATTTTCTTCAAGGTGCACATGGCATAAAAAAGATAATCCAGAAGATTTAGACAGCAAAATAATCCATAGAATCACATATTATAATAGATCATGCTACTTCATCAAAAAAAAGAGACCTGCGCCATAAATTAAGGAATGAGATACCACACCTTCAGAGAGCTTTGTGCTTCAGTTCTGCTCTTTCCAGACTTAACTAGCAGCCAGAAACAAGTATTGTACTGATTGTTTATGTGACCTACAAGTCAATATATTGACATAAGATTGTTAAAATGATACAATTCATTCTTTGACTTGCCAGCAAGAACAATAGGTCATAAAAACCCATTTCTTCATATAACCTGATTACTGTGCTTGAAATTCTTAATAAAATAAAAAGGGAGTACTCACAATCAACTTGTCTCCAAGCCAAGTAATCTCGAAGAATCTCAGATGATGGATAGCAAACTGATCGTCCATCAAAATAAGGTGGTTCTTTAAACTCTTTCTCAGGAAAAAACTCTTTCCACTTCATCACATACATGGAAGAGAAAAGAGAAACAACAGCAGAGACAATTTCACTGAAATAATCAAAATCATAAGAGCAAGTCAATATAACTAGATTAAATATAACCGACAAAAAAAAAGTCAATATAAAAACATTATGTAAACTACTTGAGGATGGCCCTCATACAGTTGCCAAATAGACTCTACCCTGAAACTTAACCAAATTAATGAAAAAGCTTTGAGAAATCGTTGTATGTAAGAGATTTTTTGCAAATGCAAAATATTCTAGAAGGGAAATTCCACCATTCAGACAAGCAAGCATTTTATAGGACACATTCTGACAAAACTTGCATTACGCACAAGAAATGAAGTTTTGCAGGATCTTTTAGCATGTTGTTCACAGATAATTGCACTATGTTCTTGCAGGTTGGCAACTGCAGCTGAGTGGTGTCAAAATAATCTACAAGCATCATGGATTCTAGAAACAGGAAGAAGGATTTTTTGACCTTGAATTGGTTCCCTCCTAATATGTGGTTTTAGATAAACACTATACTTACCTAGGAACTTAAGAAAGGTGATGAAAGAGTTACCTTGACCACCTCTGATACAATAGAGAATCTTTCTTCAAAACAAAGCTGAAAGAAAAATTGATCTCTCTCAAGATAAAAGAAATAGGAAAAGGAAACGATATGTTAAAAGTGAATCAAAGATGTTAAATGAACTAATACCTGTATTCATCACTCACTCCATATGCAAAGATAATATCCTTAAACATCTCCAGCAAAGACACCGCGCAAGAGTTCATAAGTTTCAGTGCCTGCTCATCATTTGGCTTCTGAAAGCCATTATCTTCACAAAACCTACAGTGGATCCCATCAAGATCATGAACCAGCAAGTCCAAACTAGAGTTCTCGAATTACATGCTCAATATTTGACATGACTTTTATACTTGTGAAATTACATATATATATATATATATATACACACACACACACACACACATATATATATAATGGGACATTAAAGGCTGTTTTGTATTTATCCTTATCAGATACCCCATCCCCAATAAGAAAGATCTTTTGGATAGGCTTAATGACGCCATCATATTTTCGAAATTCAATTTTAAAATTCGGATACTGGCAAATCCAGATATCTGATAAGAATAAATACAAAACAGCCTTTAATGTCCCAATGGGACAATATGAGTGGAATGTTATGCCTTTTGGCTTGAAAAATGCTCCCTCAGAATTTCAAAAAATTATGAATGATATTTTTAATCCTTTTAGCAATTTTATCATTGCATACATAGATGATATTCTCATATTTTCAAAAACTCTGGAAATGCATTTTAAACATCTTGATTTATTCAAGAAAATTATTATCCAAAATGGCTTGGTTATATCTAAACCAAAATGCAAATTTTTCAAACAACTGTGAGATTTTTGGGTCATAATATTGAAAAAGGAAAAACTATTCCTATTCAAAGAAGTATTGAATTTGCATCAAAATTTCCTAATATTATAACTGATAAAGTTCAGCTTCAGCGATTTTTAGGAAGCCTAAATTATATTTCTCCTTTTATGAAGGATTTAGCCAAAGATACGGCAATATTGTATGATAGACTTAAAAAGAATCCTAAACCATGGACTGAAGATCTTATAAGAGCAGTCCAGCATATTAAAAACAAGGTTCATAACCTACCATGTCTCACTTTGGCCAATCCCAATTGGAAAAAAATAGTTGAGACGGATGCTTCTGATATTGGTTACGGGGGAATTCTCAAACAAATTTCTCCTATTAAAAAAAAGGAATATCTTGTACAATTTTATTCAGGAAAATGGAATCATAGCCAGAAAAATTATGCTACGATAGCTAAAGAAATTTTAGCTATAGTAAAAAGTGTGTTAAAATTTCAAGGAGATTTATATAATCAAAAGTTTATTATAAAAACTGATTGCCAAGCAGCTAATTTATTTTTAGCAAAGATGTAAAACATGATGTATCCAAACAAATGTTTGCAAGATGGCAAGCTTTACTAGCCCCATTTGATTTTGAAATATATTATAAGAAAGGAGCAGATAAAAGTCTCCCTGACTTTCTTACTAGAGGATATTTGATTTAATAAACTCTTTTTACAGGATAATGAGACCATCCTGGAGTTCTTCCTCTAATAAAGGAAGAGGAAGAGGAAGAACAATGCATACGGGAAACAATAATATTCTGGCTCAATTAGGAAATTAAAGGCTAATAGCCGCAAATATTATAGGAACATCTACTGGAATATCAGGAATTGATGACAACCATCCAATGTACAGAGAATTTATGGATTTTATACAATCCAAACAACAAACTCAGCCATCATATTCATCTATAGTTAATGAAGAAGCTATAGAAAATGTGGAAATATATGATAAGAACGAGATAGATGAAATAGTACTCATTTTAGAACCAAAGGATCTACAATGAAGAGATGATCATGGGCAAATAATGATAAGATACTTTGATACGACATCATATGGTGTACCTACTTATAAATACAGGATGCATTATGAGATTATACTCTCATCGATGGGGTCTGCCTATCCGTAAAGCCATCAATATTCCATTCATAGATTTCTGTTCCACTAAAACTATTAGAGACAATATACTCTTGTTCCTCTAAAAGAATATCCTGAGGGGTTGGCCTTAGGATAATAGAAAACATCCTTTGGACTCTTTTATGCTGGAAGATTCTTCCACTTGATTCAAAAACAGATAGCAAGAACAACTGAAATTTTATTTAACTTAAAAGTAGAAATTTACAAGAGTAGAGAGAGGAATACAAAAGATGTGTTGCTCCGTGCCTGCTTTAAAAATAGAAAAAGGATCCTTTTATAGAGAAGGATCTAAGAAAATGTTAAAAACTATGACATAAGTGCTTACATCATATTATATTATTGAACCGACATAGGGTCCTACTACTTTATAAAAGTTTTGAAATTATTTACAATTGATTCCGTTTTTTTAGTCCTTTGCTATTCCTTTGTCTTTGGACTCTTTTATGCTGGAAGATTCTTCCACTTGATTTTGAAATTGTTGCAGGAAGATTATACTCTCATCAATGGGGTCTGCTAAATTTCAGCACTTCTACCCAGCGAATACCAAGAAAGTTTATAACTTTTCAAAAATCATAATAAAAAATGGGGAACAAGCACTATGAGGGAAAGAGAATATACTCACCCGGAACAAAAGACTGTAGTTAAATTTAATTATTGGTATATTTCAAAAATTTCAAAATCAAGTGGAAGAATCTTCCAGCACAAAAGAGTCCAAAGGCAAAGGAATCGCAAAGGACTAAAAGAACGGAATCAATTGTAAATAATTTCATAACTTTATAAAGTAGTAGGACCCTATGTCGGTCCAATAATATAATATGATGTAAGCACTTATGTCATAGTTTTTAACATTTTCTTAGATCCTTCTCTATAAAAGGATCCTTTTTCTATTTTTTAAAGCAGGCACGGAGCCACACATCTTTTGTATTCCTCTCTCCACTCTTGTAAATTTCTACTTTTAAGTTAAATAAAATTTCAGTTGTTCTTGCTATCTGTTTCTGAAGATCTACTAAAGGTATTATTATTATTATTTCAAAATTGTTTTTTATTTTAATCTAGCCTAAATGATAGGCTAAACACTTACTGACAGATTAATATCAACCTAAACTATGGACAACATGGAACTTGGACTGTTTCGATGCTTCTAGGGTCGAAATAATGTAGTCCGAGAGTGAGAAGATCTTGGCTTAGTCCGGAGTTCCTGTTGAGGACCATGTTAAAGCCATGTGTGAGGCGTTATTTGGGCTATGTTGGAGCCGTAAAAGATCCTTCTATCCTTGGACTATCTAACTCGTAAACGAATCGGTAGTTACATAGAAGCGATCCCGTCGTATTTGGTTCCAAATGTTGAGGTCTGTAAGGCCAAATGTTGAGGTCTGTATGGCCGTGCGGACTATCGCCAGCCTTGGAACTTAGCATGTACCGCCAGCTTTGGAACTTAGCATGTATGGTATCAGAGCCATGTGGTCAGTAGTAGTAGGTGATGTTAATCTGTCATGATTTAATTATGAATATCATAAAAAAACAAGCTACTGCTAAAAACAGTAGAAAAGAAGAATATGATATGCCTCAACAGCTTGATCTCCTTAATAGATGGACAATTCCTAAAATACAACCTAAGGTAATATACCAAATGGGAACATTTGAAAAAATGGGATTTAAACAAATTGTTAAAACCACTGAAGAAACTATTACTATGGTTTCTGATCATGGTACTTTGAAACTTCTTTCTGGAAATGATTTTGCCCCTTATAGGGAAAATTATAGATTTATGCATATTGGTCTGGTACAAGTTGCTTTTAAACCCCTAACATTAAGAGACTTACCAGAGAGCTTTATAGCAGCTCTAAGAGATGGAAGAAATCAGAATTGGAAGAAATCTCTTGTAGGGACAGTGCAAACTAGTTTGGCTTATGGTCCTGTTTATTTTAATGTTTATCCTAATTTACAGATCTCTTTAAATGATGAAAATTCACTTAATACTTTAATATTGAGTATTAAATTAAATGGGTATGATTATTTGCCTGGTACTGAAGTTATATGTATTTGTTATAGAATTTACTATAAACCTCTATATATTTTAAATCCTATGTGTAAAATTATAGATTTTAAAAATGAGACCATTTTAATAGAAACAAATTTTACCAAATCAAAAATTATAACAAGACGACCTATTAAATGGGATGAAATTGATTTTCCTAAAGAATGGGTTATTGAGGAAGTTGTTCCTCCAAGAAATAATATAAATTCGGATATATCTGATATTGAACAGACTCCAGATGGAACGGTAAGGATCAAATTTAATGATCAGAATTTATTGATGAGTTATACAGATAGTATAGGATTGCAGGCCAGGATGCCTAGATCTAACTCTTCTTATATTTCCCCAGTAGATTATATTGCTAATATTTCTTCCAGAGCATCGACTTCTCAAATAAAGGATGAGGATAACTCCAAATCCTCAACTTCTTATATAAAAGAAGGTGAACGAGTTGATAATATCAAAATAGAAAATCATATTGTTATCCAGAAAATGCATATTACCTACAAAATTTTATGCTTGATGAAAATAAGAAGCAAGAATAATGCATCTTTTTGACATGAAACGTGGAATTTGAAGCAAAAAGAATAATTCAGTCTAAAGAGCATCACAGACGAGAAACGTTATCAACTGGAAAAGGGAAAAATAAAAAGACAAGCGCAATTACATATCAACAAAGAATGATATCAACACTTCTTGGTATTCGAGCAGGAGGTCACTAAACAGTAAAGAGAAGACAAGTCGGCAGAAATAAAGGCACGAATTACCTATGGAAATGACAACCGTCTACCCGAACTACAATCCAAATAGATAACATCAACCTGCTTTCAAACTGGAAAGACCTCAAATACTCGGGTTTAATCTTGTTAATCCCTTCAGCGAGCGAACCAAGTTCCTCGGTAAGGCATGTGTAGTTATTCCAGAACCTTTTTGTTGCTACATTTTCTGAGTGAACTATGACCGCTTTCTTCCTTGGCCTTTTAACAGGAGTGCCATCTTCACGGTATTTCACAGTATCGTCCACCTGTGTTAAAAGGGAAAATATAAATTGTCAAAGTGGACATGAAGATGCATGATATGAAGTACCCACGTATTCGTGATGAGCAAACTGCATCGCATATACCTCCTTTTCTTCCCTTTATACTCCTATAGGTGGGGGTGAGAGTTCATGGTTTAAGCATAGAGCTTGTGTCAGTCTTTTTGTGATTGAGAGGAAAAATTTAAACATGAAAAGAATATGTCTGCTCGTCGCAAAAGAGTCCTTTAATGGACATGCCATTTTTATATCAAAAATATAAGAGTTACACATAACTGCTCTGCGAAGAAGCACAACAATAAGATGACCTCAACAAGGCTCAGACTTTGGAATTCAATTACTACTACTCTTACCCATTTTTAGGCTTACCATTTAACTGTATGAGTATGCAAACATTTCAAGTCAAAGAACTTGTTAAATTCTACAAAAAAAAAACATTTCTCTAAAATTATAGGGCTGGGTTTTGCTTTCTAGTTTACTTTTTGCAAGAAAGAAAGAGAAGAATTTAGACAAAAAGAGAGAGTGTGTGCGGTCCTTGGGGAAAGTTTGTTAACAAAGACGGACAAAAACTGAAGTGTCTGCCCTCTTTCCCACTCTCGTTCGAAATGTCATCAAAACCATTTTAAACCATTTCTTCTGACTCAATTTTTTTAATATTTAATCATTCTTCAAAAAAGTTCCTAAATCCAATCATCCAAAACAGAAAACCACACACATCAATTGTTTCCAAACCGTGTTTTTATATCCAAATGCCATATTTATCTATCTTTCAAATCTAAACAACAAAAAAAGGGATAGTGGCAGATGCACCACATGCAGATACCAATATATACTCTTCTGGGAGAAGAGGGATGAAGGTAGCTACCTTTATCTTGACGGCGCAAGACCCTTGACGAAAAATCTGCGGAAGGTCCTTGTAGTTGATACCAAACTGCTGAAAGAGTAATTCATTTTGCTCCTGCTTTTGTGTTCCCTGCTTTTGTCAGAACACTATTAAGCCTCAAGTCTAGGATTCTTTGAGTCCAACCATAAATTTGAAAATGATTGTTTAAATGCCTTCAAAAGTAAGTAAGTAGATCCAAAATATAAAAAAATGCAGTTAATCCAGCTATGGCCCAAGCTATTATTGTGAAAATTGGTGAATACAACCATCAATCATTAAGAATTTCATCTTTGGACCAAAAACAAGCAAGATAAAAAGTATGAGGGTGGAAAGAAAATTTACCCTAGAGCACACCTATGATACAGGAAGAGAACCCAAGGGAAAGAAGATATAAACAACTAGGGAGGTCATAAGAGCACATCACATATCTATATATGAGAATTGCCTGATTGAAAGCATATTAGACAAGGCAGACTCAAATTCCCACAGAAGTCGGAAAAGATTTAAAGATTTGAAAATGCTTTTGTACATTCTTTAAGTACAGATAGAGCACCCAAGGGTGTGGCCTAGTAGTCAGTGAAGTGGATTAAGAACCGTGAGGTCTCAGGTTCAAATCCCAGCAAATACAGAAACATTAGGTGATTTCTTCTCATTTGTCCTAGGCTCCTAGCCTTGGTGGACATATATTAGTTATGCAAATTTCAAAATTGTCAACAAAACGTCGTATTAATTTTATGCATGTATAACTTTTTTCTTATCCACCTACCAAACACCATATTAATTATATACATGAGTAACTTTTTCCTTACCACCTACCAAACATCGTATTAATTATGTACACGAATAACTTTTTTCTTATCCACCTATCACACGTCGTATAAGTTATACAAACTCTAATACATGGATAAAACTTATTTTATCCAGCTACCAAACAACCCCTTAGTGTTAACTAAATTTGAAATAGAAGAAGAATAATATTCAAGAAAAAAACCCATAAATATGCATGCCATAGGAAACAATTCAATTTTTACTCTCAAACTTAATTACAGCACCTTCAGAATCTCTTTCGCCTCCTTTTCTGACTTTCCAGAAAACACCAGCCTCCACAAACAAGTATTGTATTGATTGCTTATATGACCTGTAAGAAGAACCAATATCCTTTAGCATCAGATTTTAAGAACTCAACTCCTCCAGGAACTATTAATTGGAAATATTCAATACGAGAACTCACATTCTGTCTGCCTCCATAGAAGATATGCCTGAAGAACCTCCATTGATGCACAGCTGATAACTCGTGAATGGAATGATGGAGGCACAGTTAACTCCTTTCGAGAAAAGAACTCTTTCCATTTGATTACATATGTAGATGAGAAGAAAGACACAATAATGGATAGTATTTTGCTGCACGTTGAAATTTCTGGTCAGCTTAGAAAAATCACGAGCAACTTCATCTCAAATGAAGAAACAAAGATTATTTTACATCTCTCTTTTCTTTGCCTTCTTGACTAAATCAAGAGGGATATTTTGTATCTTATAATCCATTTTACTCAACTCCACATAAGTATCTCAAAAACAAAAACATGTATATGGTGGTCATCTTCGTGAGAAGACAAATGTGAGGACAGCTTACCACGCCTTAACATTGTCCTAGTGCTTTCTTAAGAACAGTTTGTGATCAATCTCTATATTTCCCTAATACTTGTTTCCTATGCATTTCCTCAAGCCAGCTACCACAAGGGCCTATAGCGATTTGGCGCTGATTTTCCTTCTCATTAACAAAATCTCAAAAGTGATTATAAAAGAACAAGAAATATATAGTCTAACTCAACCCCCAAAGCTAGCTCATGAGGGAAGGATTGATCAAGATCATATAAAGAGATCAAATACCTTAATTCCCACCGATGTGGGACTCAACACATCCGCACGTCAAGAACTGGACATTTGGAGAGTGGACAATATAAGAGGGGGGCTACAACATCGAAAACAATGATTTGGGTTTGGACCTAACCTTGATACCATGATAAAGAGATGAACCTTGGTTCTAACTCAACCCCAAAAGCTAGCACATGAGGGGATGATTGTCAAAGTCCATGTAAGCAAACCATCAATCCATTCCCAAATTAATGTGGGACTCTAACCCACTTTAACAAGAACATGCTAAAGAAGGGGAATCAAACGATAGTTCAAACTGGTATAGACATGGCGGTTAAGAGAAAGAGATAAAAAGTTGATAATCTATCCAAGAGACAGCAGCATCCCTAATAAGCATAATTAAATTACCTTCACTGCTAAGACTGGTTATATAAGATGCAGTTCCCCAGCACCAGATCAATGTAACAACGAAGTTTAAATAATGATAGATTGTTGGTGTATTATCATGAAACCAAAAAAATGTTGAGATGATGATCCAAAATCAAAGACAAATTGGACATGACCTAGCAAACCAAATGCTGAGAAAGAGATTTGTATATTGTAGTTAACAGAAAAGATGATTCTAGTTGAATCACATACAAAGTTATCATGCAATCATTCAAAGAGTGTTCAAGAAGCATAAGATTATCACTATCATACATGAGTCAATGCAAGAGCAATAATTTTATACCGTACCAGTGATATATAATACTAACAAGACAAAGTGCATCATTCAAATTACTCTTTCTAAAGAGTCAAAATAATTATTGATAAACACTGATAACAAATTCTTGAGATATGAAATAGGTTACAAACCTTGCTCGTCTCTGGTAAAATGTGGTTTCCTTCTTCAAAACGAAACTGCATAAATCGTTGTACGACATCATCAAGCTATTCAAGGGGGAAGAAAAAGGGCATAATTGTCTAATAGTAAGAAACGCATCATACCTGTACTCATCATTAAATCCATATGCAAATATAACATCAGAGAAGTTCTCTAATACCTTAATAGCACAAGCATTCATCAAGTTCAAGGCTTTATCATCATTCGGCTTCTCAAATCCATGCTTCTCCGAGAAACTAAACATATACAATGCAAATTAGAAAATCAAATACTGCAAAACCCAAAACGGAATACTTTTTATCAAGCAGCAAGAGTGCATTCACAAGATATACCAACACCAATTGACAAGAACTAGCACTTAACCTGAACAAAACCTATATAGAATTTTTAACTAGATATCTCTTGATTTCAACACATTTACCTTAATTACTAGACTAGGCTTAATTTGCAAAAAGATAAGAATACAAAATATAAAGGCACGCAAACCATAAACATTTAAACATCTTTTTACCAGCCAAAGTCGCGGCCATCAATTTGAACGACAATGATGTTTGGGTACATTACTTCATCTTCCACCTCAAAACATTTCACGTATTCATACCTGCTGTTCGCCATTCCCAAATGCCGCAACAATCTGATTGAAACAAAAGATTTAAGTGAAGTTATAAATGTCACACAGACCTATTTTTTTTCTCAATGGAATTTCAACAAACCTATGTGATGATAATCGATTCAATTTAATACTATCACAATTAATATTCAATAATAATCATGATAATTCGACCATTGTTCGGAAAAAAAGTTATTATTCACAATCGCATAGAGTTTAATCCATAACACTCTATTGGAAAACCATGTTCATCTTATCACCCACACACTAGCCAATAAAAACTCTACAAAGCTATAAAAACTTAAGGTATGAGTCTACATCAGCAAATATTTGCATTACCTATCAACAAACCAATTAACAATCCTTAAAGATGAAAACTTTAAACTAACAGACACACATTGTTTAGCTCATTTATTATATCAAATCCATCCAAAAGTAAGCATAGTTTCCCAGGAAAAGGGTAAATTGAAAACTGTATTACATATGAATTCCAAAAAAAAAACACGATACAACGGCAAGTACCTGACACTACTTCGCCGGCAGAAGATCGACGGAGGACGGACGATCAACGGGACTATGGGCTCGGCGTTTACTGTAACCCAAACTAGAGCGCGCTGGGGTGGGGGTTTGTATTATTGTTTTTATTTTTGCTGAGGTGTGATTATTTTTTAATTCTTAGGTCTGTTTAATCACAAATAAAATTCGTTTGGAAATTAATGTTTGATCATAAGAATTTTAGATAAAATTCGAGTCATATTTTAACTTTGTAAGAAAAAAACATGTAAGAAAATTTGAGTCAATTTTATCACATTAACAACATATGTAGACGGAAAGTAATTTTAGTTAAACAATAATTAAAAAATATATAAATCAATAGTATAACAAAGGACAATTTAATCCTTTTCAATATACTAATTATTTCATAATTAACTATTATGTTATTTAATTTTGATACTTGTTTGATTTATGAAATGTTGTGAATTAATAATTAAGATATGAAAATTGAATTTGCCTTGCCAATGATGTGTGTTAGATGCCAAGCACATATATAAGAGGCATTTTGAAACATGATAAATGAACTTAAATTTCATACTAGGACTTGAGATGACAGACTGTCAATCTCAGAGGATAATGTAAGTCTATAGTGGCTTTACATTTGGGTCAAGGACAACATGCTAAGGCCATTTTTAAGTTTAGATACGCTATTTTCAACACATATGATAGAAGCCATTGGAAAACTTTGGCATTATGTTTACTACGGATCCTTAATATGAATCAAACCAATTGATTGCAGCTTTACCTCGCACAGATCTCATTGTGTTAATACTAACACTAAAGCATATCCAATTAAGTTTACATGCAACAAGCTTCAAGTCCTAATCTCATCCAACCGAACATCAGATAAACTTTCTACTCTTGAATTCAAAAGAAGCAACTCCGTATCAGGTTCTTCAGTCACCCCTAACCACAAACTAGTTTGGGTCGTCAATATTTATCCTCTATATCCATTCTGCTGCAATCCATCAGCTTAATTCCACTACTCAATACTTTCTCCAAGGAAATTCTATAAAAACAAGGGTTTCACTAAATCTCACAAATATCCCAGCTCTGTCATACAATCCCTAACCAAACAAAAAACACTCCAGTTCAAACAAATAAAATTTAGGTACCTATAGGTATTGCCTAGTGGTCAATCAAGTAGGTTGAGAACCATGAGGAAGATTTCTTTCCATCTGTTCTAGCCTTAATAAACAAAGTAAAGTTACCTAATACTTATTACTGATAGATGCGGCAAGTACTATCCAATGGAATTAGTGGAGGACTCGAGACACACCCAAACTAGCATGCCAGTTCCAAAATTTCCAATCCTCCAGTCTAAACCATCTTTGTAAACTCAATAGCCCAAAAATCCACATCATATTCACACTGTTCTTGATATTCTAATGCGAAAATTAGTTTCAAACTCATCAAAAATGAATCCAATTCAGTCATCTATAAGATTTGCAGAAAAAAAACCACTTTTTTAACCAAATTAAAAAACTAAAATTGACACAGATACCAGATTTCAAAAGGGGTCTTAATTCACAAAGATTCTTGCAAAAAAACAAACATAAAACAGAAACAAAAATAATCAACGATTAAAACCTTAGCAGTTTTATCAAACTTTCAACTCATAACTGAGGGGGGGGGGGGGGGGGGGGACAGTTAGAAGAAAACCTGAAAAGGATAGGGTTTAATTGATCGATTGTTAGCAGAAACTGTGTTTTCTGAAAGCTCTGCTTCTCATAGTCTTCTTCCCCTTTCTTTTGCTCACGATTCGAACCAAAGAAAAAAAAAATGGTGGCTTATGCACAAACTCAGAAATATATTTTATGTATGTAATTAATCAGTAATTATATATTCACTTGATTTATTTTTTTGTCTTTTTGGTTAGAAGAATTCTTTGATATTATTATTTATTTCTACAAATTGACAAAATGTTTCCATTATGTTTTAAAGGGTAAAATTTGAAATAGTCCTTTTTTATTTTAAGTAATATGTGATAAATTTTGGTCCTTTTTATTTGTTTAAAATTTGTCATAGTATTTAATAATCTAGGTATGAAAAAAGATTAATCTATAAAAAATTGAAAAGTTTTATCAAATTCTAAAATATACATTACAAAATATAACAGTAGATACTGAAAAATATAAATAAAAAAACTATACCAAATTCTAAAAATAAACAAAAAATAGAAAAAATACAAAATTATTCCTCTACCAAGAGTTTTTGTTAATTTCCATTTTTTTTTATGAATTTCATCAAATTTAACTAATCGATTGATTAATATTTATTGAAATTAATTTTTAACATACTTAAAACAAAATTGTTGCCTATATATTTAAAGATCATTTAAATCTACCCTCAAATATAAGGACTATTTTCATCATTTCTCATATTATTAAGCAATTATATTTGTATATGTAATAAAATTATAAAGCGATGAAAGATATTATTTCACAATTTAGTATGGGGTACATAGGGAAGCTGTAGAAGGCATCTTTTGTTCCTTATTCTTTTGGCTTTTACGCTTTATTTAGATCATTGTTACGCATTGTTTTATAATATATTATATTATAATGTACTCTATTATACTGTATTGTATGATAGATACAATATTTAGCTAGATTATATTGTTTGTTATTATTTAGTAACATTTTAATTATTTATCGTATTGTATTGTAATTTATAAATTTACTTAATTATTCTTAAGTATTTTAGGATAAAAGGTTTGACTATGTTTAAATAATTAAGATAAAGGGTAAAATAGTATTTTTAAAATATTAGGTAAAAATATAATTGGAAAAAGAAATTAAGTAACAATGGGAATACACTAAATTTGTTATTCCATAAAATAGAGATTTTCATTGATACGTAACAACGAAATTTAATAATACAATACAATACATTTTAAGTAACAATTAAAACAAACATTATAATATAATATAATAGATAACAATGATCCAAATATATTGTTAGTGTGATGTTGAACCATGAGCAATTTCTTTTTCATCTTTTTTAAAACTTAAGGTTAGAAAAATAACATTTTTATTTGTTATAAAATGATATATCAAGGTAATATGTCGATTACCGGTGAACAAGTAAAAATGAGATATCGATCCTCACCAATAAACCCATTTTACATGAAATGCTTAATTTTTTATTATTAAGTTGATTTTGAAGATTTAAATTATTTATTTGGTTATTGTAACAAAAGTAACATAAGTAATTTTTAAGCGGCAAAATACATAATTATTAATTATCTAATGTCTATATACATGTCTGAATTAATATAATCAATTAGTTCTATCTAAATAATTTTACAAGTATAAATAGGGAAAATGTATAAATATCTTCTTAATCTATGCTCGAAATTTTAGAGATACACTTATATTATACTAATGTCCTATTACTCTCCTGAACTTATTTTATATGTAATTTTCTATCCCTTTTCGATATACATGGCATTAGTTTAAAAAAAGTCAATCATCGTTGGGCCCACAAGATAGTGGGATAGAAAATTATTAATAAAATAAGTTAAGGAGGGTAATAGGACCTTAGTATAGTATAAGTGTGTCTCTGAAATTTCGAACATAGATCGAGAGGATACTTGTGCATTATCCTATATAAATACAAATTAAAAATATGTCTTAGTACTTAAACAAATTAAAAATATTGTCATCCTTAATATATCTTTATGTAATCACTAAATAAATAATTATAAATTGCTTTAATACTCTCAATCAAGCTAGACAAGAATTAATACTCAAACCATTAATCAAAGATAGAGTTATTAAAGTCTTAAAGATAGTTGATAAGCAATTAAGCACTAATTAAAACCAAAAAAATCCCCATTTTAGTTCTTTCAGTTACAACTAAACTTGAATTATTGATAAAAAGAATTTGTGATAGAGCAATAAATAGTTATTTATTTTTAATTAAAAAATTTGAGTTGAAATTGCAAACATTTAGAGTCATTTTTAATAATGAGCCCTTTATTGTATAGGTAAAAATTTTCCAAATAGATCTAAATTAATCATACTTTAAAACGGATATAAATAAAATTTCATTTACTCTATTAACTTAGTATCCTATCTTAACTAAATTACGTGTGACATAGTCAATTAATAAAATTTGTAAGCAATTTGATATTTTCTCTTATTATATATTATTACAAGTGAAAAGCTCCAACATTAAAAGTTGAATTACCATTTTACCCTTACATTAAGTGATAATCTAATTAAATCATATCTATAATCTAAAATTTTAATAATATTGTGAATAAATAAATATAATTTCGTTGAGTCTTTTCCACTACCCATTAACTATGCATTCAATGTGAGTAATATACAATGACATCAATAAACTTAATGACATTAACTATAATTTTCTCTTCATCATATACAAATTTCCTAGAGAATATGAGGAGGTGTTGTGGTGGGGTTTTGTATTATTGTTTTTATTTTTGCTGTGGTGTGATTATTTCTTAATTTTGAGGGCCCCATTAATTACAAATAAAATTCTTTTGAAAATCAATTTATGATGGTAGGAATTTTAAATAAGTCTTTTGAGTTATATTTAAAATTTGTAAGAAAAAAACATGTAAGAAGATTTGAGTCACTTTTATCACATTAACAACATATGTAGACGGAGAGTAATTTTTTGTTAAACATACATAAATAAATCAATAGTATAACAAAGGACAATATAATCCTTTTCATAATTAATTAGTATGTTATTTAATTTTGATACATGTTTGATTTATGAAATGTTGTGAATTAATTAATAATTAAGATATGAAAATTGAATTTACCTTGCCAATGATGTGTGTCAGATGCCAAAAAGATATAAGAGATATTCTAAAACGTCACAAAAACTTAAATTTCATAAATCGTTATTTTCAATTAACATCGCATTTGATATTCATGAATGAAGTGAAGGGAAACAGGAAAGAATTAAGCATAAGAAACTCTTAATGTGCTATAAAAACTTATATATATTACTACTACTAGTTAATTGAACCGCGCTTCGCGCGGTATTAATGATTTCAAAAATTAAATTGAAATAAATAATATTTTATTTAAATCCACAATTTTTTCTTTTACATATCAACAAATGATACCAAAAAAAAATCATTAAAATAAGGTGAAACGCCATAAAAATAATCAAAAGAAAAGATAATTATTTTTTGAAATTAATTTTTCCTTGTAAAAAAAAACAAATAACATTATTTATTTTTTAAAATCTATGTCCGAACATCTACTTAAAAGATACAAAGATATTGAAATTTTAAATGGACTATGCATATTTAAAATCGCATCTCAAATGAAAAATATTGTAAAACTAATATTTCGAATCTACTTTATTCATTACGTTCTTTCTTCCCCTTTTTTGGTATCACATCAATTTTTCATTAAATCTTATTTTGACACTATGTGCCCATAAAAAATACCATTACATGTTATTCAAAATCGATATTAAAACAATCAAAATGAGTAATGACCTAATGAAAAACTCAAACGGAAAAAGGAAATATTAGCAAAGAATTGACACTGTAATAACCATTAAAAATTATAAAATTTCAATACATTTTCAAATGTTTTTTTTCACACAGGTTTTGGGCTTTTAAATATAAGAGAGTGTTTGAATTGAATTGTTTTAAGTAGCTTATAGACTTTTAAAATTATGAAAAATATAATTAAAGTAAATTAAATATGATGCATAATTTTATTTTAGCTTTATTATTATTATAACTATATATTATATAATAACAATAGTGTATAATATTATTGAAAAACACTTAAAAAAACAAACAAATTTTGTAAAATTACTTTTTGCAATTATTATTAAGTTATAATAATATATTTCTAGGAATTTAAAAAACATAAGGAAAAGGAATAAAATAAAAGAAAGAAAGAAAAATAAATGATTTAAGAAATAATATAAATAATGTTAATAATGAGATTAAGGGGAGGAAGTAAAAGAACTTAATAGCACTAATGATTATACGAATTATATATAGACTATTTTTGCTATTTTATAAAATTTAATGTAAAATTATCAATCTTTAAAAGTTAAAAAAAATGTAATTAAAAATAAATAAATATCAATGCGAGACTAAGAAGGGTGTTATTCTAATTTTTTATTTTAGATATTATTACACACACATATATAAATTCGTATAAATTAATAACAAAAAATAGAAAATAAAATAAAGTAATTTAAGAAAATAATATAAATGACATTAATAATGAAATAAAGGGAAGAAAGTAAAAGGAGCTAATGGTACTAATGGCCAAAATTATTATTATTTATTATCCAAATTTTTCATATTCTTTATTGAAAATCAAAACTCATCCATATATTGACATATGAAATCATTTATATTCGCTTTTAACTTCTTCATCTTTATATAGCGTTTGAGTTACATAATTTATTCAGTTTCTATATAAAAATGATATTTGAACTCTCTTGTATATTTATTATTTTTATTTTAATATATATTTTTTACGAACTATTAATTTTTTACGTCTTTAATATGAAATATTTGTGTTTTTCCTATCTAGAGGATGTCAAAAAGATATTTTTGAAGTAATTCTGCTATTTTGAATATTCCATAAGTTTTTAGATATTTCTGAAGAGATCATAAAAACATTAAATATTGTTTTTGAATGATCTCAAATATCTCATAAATTATTAGATATTTATAAAGATTAAAATCTCAAATATCCTATAACTTTTGAATACTCACAGGGAAATCTTAACAATATCAATATCGTTTTTGTTAAAGATATCTCAAATATCTCATAATTTTTTTTGATATTCATAAAAAAAATGAAAAAAAATTTAAAAACATAGAATAAACAATT